CTGTTTTTATCCCCTTCAGAAATCACACCGATTTCCCCATTTCCACTGAAAAGCAAAAGGCTCCAATTTTGAGCTAAATTTTGAGCTAAAACTCCTGGAATTCCTCCATTTCCCCCCTGCAAAACTGGACCATTTTCACAAATCGGAAACAAAAGGTACAAACCTTGAACGTCCAGTCTTTTGAATTTCATTTTGAGCAGAGGCTCACCTAGGAATCTGCTTATTCCTAGCAGATCTGTGCATGGGGGAGCTGGAAAGCCAAGACCTCAGTTATACATTGCAACCTTTCAGCTCTGCCCTCCCTGACCCGTGAAAAGGAAGGGAGGCGCTAGGATAGGAGGGCAGGGAGTGTGCTTCGGCCTCAATGAACTTGCTGTCACCAGGGCAATAAGCAAATGATACGAGGACACCTGAGCTGTGACTGGGAAGACAAGATGAACTGGTTCCTTCTGAGACTTCTGCCTAGACTCCACCTTGAATGAGCATAAAGGGTCAGAGGTGCCTAGGGCTCTTGGCTACCATGGAGAGACACCAGCACCAGCATTGAACCTCTGAGCTCAGGTCAAGTGAGCCGCCCTGTGCATAGCACAATGCTGGCTGAGCCAGTCTTGACCCGACTTCGTTTCGGCAGGCTCAGAATTGCGTTAGAACCCATTGCCCAGCCCGGAGAACCGAACTGAACTCTGCCACTTTGGAGTTGTTTATCCTTCACTCTTGTGCAATGCTCTTGAGTGCCGGGTCACAGGGGCCATGCCTAGGGTGACCAGATGTCCCGATTTTATAGGGACAGCTCCGATTTTTGGGTCTTTTTCTTATATAGGCTCCTATTACCCCCCATCCCGTCCCGATTTTTCACACTTGCTGTCTGGTCACCCTAGCCATGCCAGAGGTGGCTGCATTTCGCTGGGAGGAGAAGTGGTCCCTGTCCACTTTGTAAAGCAAAATGATGTAAACGTACAGGAGGCATTCTCCTTGACATTGGGCTGGAGTGGATGGGGCCTGATCCTCCGCTGATGTCACAGCAAATCGCTACTGAAGTCAACAGAACTAGGCCTATTGCCCCCAGCTGAGCATATGCCCCTCAAAGTGTATTGCTCAGTCAAACGATGACTAAGGGGATGTTGCAGCCGGTTTGCACCAGTGTCACTGAGATCACAACTTGGCTCACTGTCAAGAAGGGTTTCCCGCTATTTAGTCCAGGGGTTCTCAAACTAGGGGTCGGGACCCCTCAGGGGGTCACGAGGTTATTACATGGGGTGTCACGAGCTGTTAGCCTCCACCCCAAATCCCGCTTTGCCTCCAGCATTTATAATGGTGTTAAATATATAAAAAAGTGTTTTTAATTTATAAGGGGGGGGTCACTCAGAGACTTGCTGTGTGAAAGGGGTCACCAGTACAAACGTTTCAGAGCCACTGATGTAGTCTGTTTTCCATTCTTTAATTTCATCCCATTTCTTCTGGTTACAACCCCCCTTAGCTCAATAAATAAATAAATAAAACTATTTTTTTAAAGGCATCAGAACGATGTGGTGACGTAGCACACTCGGAAGTTGTCACCCAGGGGAACCCCCTGCTCACCTGCCCCCAAAATTGGCCCTGCCCCCACTCTGACATCATGGGCCAGATTTTCCAAAGATTGGTGTCACAGGAGGAGCTGCTGGGCACTGACCCCTTCTGGCTCCACGCATGTTATTTTACTCTTTCCTCCTAAATCACTAGAATTACTCCAGGTTTACACAGCGGTAACCGAGATTACAAGTGGGCCAAGTGCAATCTTATTAAGGGTTGCAATAATATCCCAAGGGAAATGAGAGGAAGGATGGACCCATGACTCGGGTGCTGACTTGGGAAACTCAGCTTCAATTCCTTGCTCTGCCACAGGCTTGCTTTGTGACCTTGGGCAAATTACTTAGTCTCTGTGGGTCTCAGTTCCATGTCTGTAAAATGAGGAGAAAAGCACTGCCCTACCTCGTAGGGAGATCGTGAGGTGCTCGGATGCTACGGTAATAGGAACACAGGCCTGGAAGGGCAGTCCGGTCCCCTGCATCGCAGGCATCCCGGTCATTCATAAACTTATCAAGCGCCATCTAAATGGGGGCCATGTAAGTGCCCAAGAAACAAAGAGAGAATGAAAATCCAATCTCTTGGGATGTTTAAACCTCAAATGCATAGTGCTCTGGAACCAGAGCGGGTGAAATCCTCACCCCAGTGAAATCAAAGGAGTTTTGCCATTGACTTCAACAGGGCCAGAATTTCACCACTGCCGGGAGTGATCCTGCACTGCCTGGCTTAGGTCTTTTTTCTCTCTGATTCTAACCCCTTATCCAGTGCCTCGCAGGGGTTTCCTTTACTACTTTGGAAATGTAGCTGTCACCAGGGCGATCGGTGGCAGTTCGGCGGCAGCTCAAACGTGCCACTCCATTCTTCGGCGGCAGCTCAAACGTGCCGCTCCATTCTTCGGCGGCAGCTCAAATGTGCCGCTCCATTCTTCGGTGGCGGTTCGGCGGCGGGTCCTTCACTCCCTCTCTTCCTCTTTGGCGGCACTTCGGTGGCAGCTCAAAGAGGAAGAGAGGGACTGAGGGACCCGCCGTCGAATTGCCACCGAAGACCCGGACGGAGTGCTGTCCCTTTGTATTGGCCGCCCCAAGCACCTGCTTCCTTAGCTGGTGCCTGGAGCCGGCCCTGGCTGTCACTAGATTCCCCTGCAAGTCTTTGGCACCAGTGAAGTCTGTGGTACTAACTGGACACGTCCGCTCTGATAGAAAGAAAACGGTTGCACTAACGTGGCATCCTTTCAGCAGTAGGATGAATGTCCTTTTGCTTCTGTCGCCCTCTGGATGAGCCCCTGAGTGGCTTTGAACATTCTGCCATAATGGCTGACACTGAGTAGGGCAGAAAACAAACAGAACAACCAACCAAAAAAAACACCCTAGGGAAAAAAACCAAGCGGCGTGTCTAGAAGACAGCTCAAGGGCAGCCAGTGATGGGCAGAAGAGACCTTGCCACTACCAGTCTCATCAGGGGAAGGGAAAACACGGCAGACACCACCTTGTCATCCTTAAAGTACTCAGGTTAGGGAGAATTAGAACAGCTCCGTTCCTAATGTGTGTGAACAGGAGCAAAGAGCTGATGAGGGGGGCTGGCTCATTCCAGTCAGAGTCTAGCGCGCCGGCCCTGCACAGCAGAAACAGACGCTGGTTCGCCAAGCTGATTGCCACGCTCGTTACTGAATTCCAGCAACGGGTGGGCCCCGGGGCATTTGGGAAGGCTAGAGGAGGGGACTGATAGCTGTGTTTCCCAATGCATGAGGTGGGTTCTGGCGAACATTCCCAGGACATGCTGGAGCACAGCGTGTGCATTCTGCTTGGGGCAGCCACCGGGCAGGCGCCTTCTGACGGGAGCAGCAGGTACACTCCGCAGCATGGCAGAAACATTCTGCTAGGGCAGTGGGTTCCATGCCATGAGCCCTTTTCCACACTGGGATATGCCTGTCACTTAGCCAGTCCCACATCCCTCTTCCCCGGGAGCGATAAAAGAAAGGCAGTGACTCCCTAACGCTTGGTTGTGACCCTCCTGGGGGTCCTGACCCCAAGGGCGAGGACCCCTGTTCGAGGAGCAATATCCACACAGAAATCTCCCATTTAGAGTCTGTGTTAAGTGGTGGTAACTGAGTTTTTTAAAAAGAGATTTAGAGAGGCTGAAAATGAATCATAATCCCTGGCATGATAGTGACATGAGCAACTGTGTGCTCACCTTCCCCTCAGCTGCTCTGCAGTGAGATCCTGGAGGTACTAAGAGCTCCTGCAGGAAGTGAGGGCCCTGGGGCTAGCATGGCAATCCCGCCATGGTGTGCGGTGCCCTAGGGAATGGCGGGAGAAAGCAGCTAAAATTGAGGCAGGGGATCCCCAGAAGAAGGGAAAAGAATGGGGAGAAACGGGGCTTGAACTGAACTGACAGGAAAAAACAGGGAGTTAAAAATTCACAATCAATTTTTCCTGGTTTCGCTCCCTCTCTACATTGTTGTGCGCATGGCAATTTCAAAGTTGGAAAAATACTGCCAGGCTCTAAAGCTGGTTATAAAACGGGGGGGGGGAGGGGGGGGAGGGAGATTTGGTGCAAATGTCATGAACAATTTGCCCAGTTTAACAAAAAAATAATAAAAGCTTTGGATTTTGGGTTTTTTTTTTTTTTAGAGAGAGCAGGAAGTGGGAGCACAATGAATGAAGTGAGGTGACCCGGGCGACACAGCAAAGCAGTGTCAGAGTCAGGAAGTGGAAAGCTGGGCAGTGGAGACTGAAAGCGGAGCTGGGCAGCAGAAGGGAAACCAAAGAGGAGAGGGAGGCAGACAGAGAGGAAGAGGGGAAGAGAGAGAGATGCACAGGGCCCTGAAGAGGAAGCCAAGGCATCCAGCCAGAAAGTGCTCTAGGTGCCTACGACTTGACTTGAGAGTGAAAAAAGCCCCTGCTATTATATGTACAAGATGTAGTTGGAGAAACATGGTTTTATTGCCTGCCGAGTGCTTTTCCAAATGGGACCTGAAGCTTTCATACACACTTCTCGGCCTCCTTTGCATTCTCTCCTTCCTAGGAGGCAGAGAGATTTTTTATCTCCATCCAGCATTAAAAAACAAACAAACCATAAAGCCAGCTGCCTTAAAAAATAAATCCCTTTTCCTAGTCTATGCTAATAATTTACTATTAGCCCAGGTTTTATTAAGAACACTTTCAAGGGCTGCACAGAGCCCCCTCCATAAATAGCACATAACTCATACCGTGAGGATTTCCTCTCCAGTGGGACTTTTAATGTTTAAACCAGAGGTGTTAAAGGAGCAGCTCAAAGGCCAGTCGGAGCCCTGGAGATTTTCACATCTGGATTATATCTCAGTGCTTAACACATTAGGTTTTGCCCCAAGCAGCTCCGGATTTCCCCCATCCGTCCATGCTGAACCTGAGTTTGATTTGATTTAAGGGGCCAGGCGTTCAAAGGAAAAGAAATGTTACCTGCATAAACATTTAGAAGAGCTGCCGGCCATGCTCCCAAGCTTTGGCTTGCAATGCCATGTGCGCTGTCCTACAACCTGTTTGTAACGAATAGAAAAGAAGTTCTTTATTTCAGGCTGCTGGACACAGCTCTCTCCGGCTTTCTAGATCCCAGGTTAACGAAACACAACCCGACGGGTCTAATGTCTGTCTCCCTGAGCCCTGGCATGGATTAGGTGGCCGTGGAAGGGACTGTGAGCTGCACCAAATACCCTTTTTCTACCAAATGAGAGGCAGTGTCATTTGGTGTATTGGACTTGGAGTCAGGAGACCTGGGTTCTGCTCTTGTTTAGACTGTAGCCTCTGTGGGGCAGGAAGCGTCTCTTACCACATGTCTGTACAGCAGCTAGTGCAACTGGGCCGTGCTCTCAGTTGGGGCCTCTGGGTGCAACTGCAATACAAAAGTCACTACTCACCGGAGCTGGATACAGCCCAGCAGCCAAAGACTCTGTATTCCAATACCAACCCCTGAACTATTTCAATTGTTACAGCAAAGTACTTGCTCCTACGTTTTAGTAGTAGAGCCATAGAATATCAGGGATAGAAGGGACCTCAGGAGGTCATCTAGTCCAACCCCCAGACAGATTTTTACCCCAGTTCCCTAACTGGCCCCCTCAAGGATTGAACTCACAGCCCTAAGTTTAGCAGGCTAATGCTCAAACCACTGAGGCCACTGCAGCTTTTAGCCAGAGGGTGGTAATCCCAAACTCGTCATGGGGATAAAGCCCTGAAGTGCAAACTGGAAGGGACCTGGGGTGTGTGCTGTATGGGTACAGGTCTGAGATGATATTTTTGACAGCTGTCTTACCAGCTTTACCTGACTGTAGAAGCACTGTTGTATGCAGTACGTTAGCCGTATCGGTCCCAGAATATTAGAGAGACAAGGTGGGGGAGGTAATATCTTTGGTTGAACCAACTTCTGTTGGTGAGAGAGAGAGACCAGCTTTTGAGCTTACACAGAGCTCTTCTTCAGCACTGGACCTTTGACCCGTGTTAAGCCCCCTGGAACAGAAAGACCGGGCTTAGACAAGATCGATAACAAGATCCATTTTTGAAGATTTTTCTCTTATTAGTTCTGATTTGTCTCTCTCTTCCATATGGGCTAGATCCTGAGAGGGGCTGCACTTTGCACCTGATCCTGCAAGGGGCTGTGTCCTCACCTCCCAAGGACTTCAATGGCACTCAGCACCTCCCAGCATTTGGCCTGCGTGGCATCAGTGAGAGCGGAAGGTACACAGCACCTTGTAGATTCACCTTGAGCAGCCTTAACTCCCCTGGACAGGAGCTGCAGGTGCTCGGCACCGATCACGTTGCGGGGGTCCTGGCTCAGACCGGCATGGGGAATTTTCCATTGACTTGAACAGAAGCAGAATAGGGCTTTGAATGTGTAGCCAGGGCATGTGCCAGGATTGAATGTGGAGGGTGGGCATCTTGGGAGCTCAGCATAGCATGCCCAGGCCTTTGTCTGGTGTGACGGGGAAGCCGGTGCAGACCTTCCCTCATGCCCGTCCCCGCCACATGCACCCCTGCTGGATTGCTAAAGAACCTCAGCCCCAGATGACTCCCTGTGAGGTCAGGGTGGAGCCCAGCACAAGGTAAAAAGGGCACGTGGCTGCTGGCTCTGGGTTCATAAACTCACCCGGTGACTCTACGCCTCCCTCTCGAGACGCCCATTTTTCTTTCCCTTCCCTTCCTTCTGTGGCAAGTTGATAGGTGAAACCCGCTGGTTGTGTGCAAGTGTTGTAATGACATTAACAATATGCCGCGGGCAAGTTTCCAGTGTGAGGCAAGCAGCAGCCTCTGCTCTGAGCGTGCAGTCTTGGCAGGCCGACACTTTCCCATGCCTTCTGCCCTGTGTCACGGGGGAGGTGGGCCACTCCCAGGCTGACAGCTCCGACAGGATACCTTCACAATGACTGAAATAATAGACCTAGCGATGGGAAAATGAGGCCGAGAAACCCCCAGGGTGAATTGAAAGATGAATAACTTCCCCGAAGCTACATCCCAGAGCGTGCCCCAGCCTGTAGTTGATCTACAAGCTGACTTCCCCACTTCCTCCTCCTCCGCCACCACCCTTCACTCCCCTCCTGGGAGACAGATCTGTCTGGATTCCATCGCTCTCCTAAAAGAACCGAGAGAGTTTAAAGAGAAGAGGAAAAGGCAGCAGAGGCCCCTGATCATAGATCGACCCCTGCAAAGCATCAAACCTGCCTGCTTTAAGAACTGCAGTTAATAAACAGCAGCTTTAGAAGGGTCGAAGCGATGCCCTGGCGGAGTTTGTCAGGGGGGTTGCATGCAGCTTTCACTGGCCCTGGCCCCGATCCTGCAATCGGATCCACTTGCACGTGTATAAGTACAAAGTCACGCATGATAAGCAGGGCGGGGTGTGCTGCTGCCCGGCACTGGGTTACTCCAAAGGCCAAAGAGCTAAGCACCTCAACAGGCTTAAGACCATGTCTCCCGAGATGTGCCCATTCCTCACCCATGGCCTGCACCTTTATACTTCTGCTCTTGTAAAGCCAGGACTGTGCAGGCAGCTCAAGGGGAAGGCTACATCTAGCATTTAACCCATTAGTACCCAAGCGTCACCTATCCTCTGTCACAACAGTGCTCACCTGCAGGGTCCTGACTCTGTGTGTGTCCCCTGTTGCCCCAGGAAATATACCCATTGGGAGCAGTATCTCCTCAGTGGTGAGAGATGTTTCCCAGAGAGTGTGTCGGATCTCTGGATTGCATGGGGAAGACAGCTCATTACCGGCCAATTGGCTTGATGAGCTCAGCATTTTGAGGCAGTTAATGGGGCAAATGCTCGCCCATGCTTTGGTTACAGTCCGGATGGCTGGTGATAAACTCTGCAGAATACCTACCAGGGTCAGCATTTCTATCAGGAGGCTATTAGCAGTTAGTATGAGCAGACTCTAACAGAAAACAAGGAGCCTAAAATTCCCAACAGGTAATCCAGGTTAATTTCAGCACAGCATTATGGCGAGGTGCTCAGCCTGTGTTACTTTAAAACATGCTTGTATTTGCCATGGGTTTTAAAATGCATACAGGGGTATGTCCACTCAGAGAGGAGGCCTGTTTCTGTTTACATTCCATATGCCGCAATCCGTATACACGTCAATCAAAACTGTTGTTAGCCATGGCTGTCACGTCAAGTCCAGGTATAACAACACTGGTGATTGACAGGAAAGTTTGTTATCTATGAATGTGTCATCCCATCCAGCACCCATAGCCAGAGTTCTACCTGACAGGTCATCAGTGGTAGAGTTCCATCATCCATATATTATAAGACTGTTCGAACAAATAATTTCCTGGCTAGGCTCAGAACATCCCAGTTCTTTAGCATTGCTGTTACCTTGAGATATAGGATTTGACAGTGGAAGAAGGGCATGGGCCAATGGACCTCAAGGGTCAGCAAATAAACACGTGGCTAAGCCCATCCCTGGTGCAACGCCTCTGAAGGCAATGGATGAATTTGGATCTTTCAGCAGAAGCTGATGGAATCCCCAGGTTATGGGAAGAATATGACTAGGGCGAAGCAGACCGCAAAAGGTTGGAAAGTTTCAACTGGAAGCCCCAAGAGGTGGCTGTTTAGCTGACACTTATACAGGCTCTGAGATCCTGGAAGAACAGACTTTCTCATGAGGGGCCCCATAAATCCTGCTTCCGTTCATTTCACACACATGGCTACTCTCATAGGTGGTACACTTCAGGGCAACTGCACCTGTAGTTCCCCCTCTGTGGTCCACCAAGGACACCCGCTCTAGATCTCCAGCTCCTCGGCCATCACCTCTCTTGAGTGAATACCCACGTCTCTGTCCTTTCTGACCAGGGTTTTTCCAGGCTGCACAGTGCTTTGCCTATCCTGTGACATCCCCAGCAAGCCAGGCTGCCTAAACAGGCCAGTATCTGCATTTTGCTTTCTCTTTGAAGGCTGTGAACAGCTGTAATTGCCAGCAGTAGCAAGTTACCACACAGGGCTTTATAAGCAAGCACACTTATTCTTGAGGTGAAAGCATCACAGAGAAAACATATAAAAACAATAAACGTTTCTATACGCATGCTAAAAGCTTACAGAGATCCCCATCAGTCTTATGGGCCTCAGTTAGCCAAAGTCCTTCCAGCTCTTCCCAGGCACGATGGGGTTCCCACTTGGACAGAAGGTCTTGCCCATTTGCAGCTCCCCCCCGCCTAGCATGCTGGCTTCTGTGGATCATTTACTAAGGTCCCGAGCTCTCCCCGTTTATTGTAGGGGGAGCCTGGGCACCTTGCTCAGGCTTTGAGGATTGCAGTGTTGTTCCTGTGAGTTTCTGAGGCAATACTCAGCATCGCAACATCTCAGTACCTTAGGGATCCAGGCTTCTCTATCTATTTCTATGGTCCCCACTGCAGACAGTCACTAGCGGGATTGCAGGATTATCCCCATTTTACAGACGGGGTGCCGAGGCACAAGACAGATTAGGGGATTTATTTCGGGTCCCACAGGAAATCCGTGTCTCAGCAGGGAAATGAACCCAAGTCTCCTAAGCTTCAGGGCAGTGCCCTCACCTCTAGACCACCCTCCCTCCAACCCTGTGCTACCCTTTTCCTCAGTGCAAAAAGGGCAGGCACCTGTTAGGACGGAATAACTTGAGGTTGGCTGAGATCCCGGGGAGCCTTTCTGGAGAAGCGGTGTGCATGCTCCTGTGATGTAAACCAGATGTCCCTTTGTGAAGCACGTAGGATACCAAAACTGGAACGGGAATGAACATATTGCTGGACTGCTTCAACCACATTGACTCCACTTTTACCCATTCTTTATGAATTAAATTGCCTGGGCGGAAAGACATCCCCGAAGATCTGAGGGTGGAGGATAACCTCCTTCGGGGCGGGGGGGGGGGTCAGCTCGATCTGCAGCCCCCCACCCCTGCTCTTTCTGGGCCCAGGAATCAGTGCCCCCACTTGTGACTAATGGGGAATTTATGTTACAGCTGTGGGCTGTATAAGTTTTGCTTGGCACCCTTTCATGCGGTGGCGCTCCCATTCATGGTGGGGTTTTTTGCAGGGGCAGGTACCCGGAGGTGAACCCAGGCAGTGATGCACCATTGAACCGAGCTTACTAGGGAGTCAAAGCAAGTATCGAAAGCGATGGACCCCAGAATCATTGCAGAGACATAGGGCTTGTGGAGATTCCCTGGCGATCTGTGCACCCCACCCCAGATAGGATGTTCTGTGAAAAACTCGGTGAGGGAAAGCTGCCCCATGGCTATACCTAGATCCCAGCCTGCAGATTTTTCAGTAGCAGGGGACTATGCTTCTCCCCTTCTCCACTCAGCAATGTGAACTATTGCCCTGCACTGCTAAGTGTATGCATCTGTCCCAGGCATGAATTTAGCTTTGCTCTTGATGAATCAGCTGATGTGGGAAATTGATTCTCCAATAGCATGGCATAGCTCTCTCAAACCAGTCCTCTGAGATTTCACAGTGAAAGCCTCCGAAACCTTAGAACTCGGGGAGAAGCCAAAAGCTTTGAAAGCATTTATGATCAAAGCGAAGGTGTGAGAGTTAATTTATCCTGGGCAGAATTTGCTTTCAGAGACATCATCTGTATTTCAGTAGGACCAGATCTTCTGTACCTGTGCCCTCTGAATGAACCATTTTACACTAATAGCAGGCTGCTTGCTCTCTATATTGCAAGCAGGGTTGTATTTACAGGAGCTGAACTTAATTTGTACATAGAAAAGAAGCCTCACTTAAGAGTGGACCTGTAAATGTGACCCTGACACCTAATTTTAGCACAGGCAAACATCTGTAGCACAGATAGGGTGACCAGATGTCCCGATTTTATAGGGACAGTCCCGATTTTTGGGTCTTTTTCTTATATAGGCTCCTATTACCCCCCACCCCTGTCCCGATTTTTCACATTTGCTGTCTGGTCACC